GCCAAACCTCTGTCGTAGTTCTATAACTCCTACTATGCAAATCTTAACGATATATTTGATGTGTACCTGTCAATGGTGGCCAATACCAAATATCCCAAAATTATTTTCTCGTGTACAGAGTAAATTAGGCAAATCACTTAATTTTTTTTAAATGGAATGACCCAACTTTTTTTATAATTTTAGGTACTCTATGGTCACTAGTACATACCCACAAAATATTGTTTCTAACATCCCACCCCTTTCGCAGAAAAAAAAATTACCAAAAAATATTACATTTTCAGACGCCTATTAAAATATGCAGTGCTCTCTCGAATTTGATGTTAGAATTTAAGAAACTACGATTTTATAAAGCCAATAGACCAAAGATTTTTTTGGACCAAGTTTGAATTTTTTATTTTGTACAGGGTGGTCACAAATTAATTTCACTTTCCAAAAATTTCGAGGGAAATTTTTTAAAATTTTTCAAATGTATTACCCTGTATTTCTATTCATCAACTGAAGGAGAATTTCATACCCTTCCACTTCCCTATGTACTTTCCTATACCTATCTGTCGCCGTTATAAAATAAATTCAAAAAGAAGAAAATTACGATAATAAAATTTATTTGAAATTTATCCTAAAACATAAATTTACATTTTATAAAAGATGCTCAAAATGTCTGCCATTTTCTCTAATGCATACATTTGTTCGTTGGGCGAATGATCGAGAAACGTTTCTAAGCATATCAGGTGTAATGGAATGGAAAGCTTGCACTATCCTTTCTTTCATATTTTCAGGTGTTGTAGGTGGCGTAAGATAAACTAGATTTTTAATATAACCCCACCTAAAGTAATCGGGTTTTGTTGTCAGGTGATCGAGCTGGCCATTTTTTTGGACCATTTCTACCAATCCATCTATTTGGAAACTTTTCACCTAATTCATCTGCTACTTCGCGTAAAAACTGCGCTGCGGCCCCATCATGTTGGTACCACATTGTTAGTCTTACAGCAAGGGAAATGTTTTCAAGTAAAGTAGGAAGATGATTTGTTAAAAAATCTAAATACATCAGACCATTTAAGTTGCCTTAAAAAAAATACGGCCCAATAACATGATCCCCAATTATACCTCCCCAAACATACACACTCCATCTTTCTTGGCTATGTGTTCTGATGATGTTAGGATTTTCCGTAGAATAATAGTGGAAATTATGTCTATTAATGAATCCGTTCTTGTGGAATGTAGATTCATCAGAAAACAGCACTCTATTAAAAAAAAAATGGATTTTGTTGCAGTTTAGTTTGTGCCCAGTTACAAAACACCATTCTATTATCAAAATCGGTGTCTTTCAGCTCTTGATGCAATTGTATTTTATAAGGATGATATTGATGCTGTTTTAAAATCCTTCTAACGGATGTTCTACTTATACCTACTACTTCGGCAATCTTTTTTTGACTTACATGAGGATCTTCTATCGCTGTCAAAATTACAGATAATTGGTTATCATTATCAGTAGCACGTTTGTCAATTATTGGTTTTTTATAAGCAACATTTCCTGTTTCGGTAAATCTTTCATGTACCTTTTTTGATCAGGGATGCGTCTATCGGGATATCGTTGATGATAAATTCGTTTTGCCAATAAACAATTTCTGTCGGATTCTCCCAAAACATAGACCATGTCAATTAATTCGTTTTTCGTAAAATTCATTATTAATAGAAGAATTATCGCGATCAGTAAAAATAACTTGACACTTCATTAATAAATAATCTGACACTTCATTAAGACCCGGCCTACTTGATTAAATGTTCACTTTCAATAAAACCAGTGGTAGAAATTGGATTTTTGATAGATGAATGTCTTTTTGGAATTTACTTTTAGACGACGACAGATAGGTATAGGAAAGTACATGGGGAAGTCGAAGGGTATAAAATTCTCGTTTCATCGATGAATAGTAATACAGAATGTTCTATTTGAAAAATTTGAAAAAAATGTCCTAAAAATTTTTGGAAATTGAAATTAATTTGTGACCACCCTGTACAAAATAAAAAATTAAAACTTGGTCTAAAAAAATCTTTGGTCTATTGGATTTATACATTCGTAGTTTTTTAAATTCTAACGTCAAATTCGAGAGAGCACTGCATATTTTAATAGGCGTCTGAAAATGTAATATTTTTTGGTATTTCTTCCATTTCTGCGAAAGGGGTAGGATATTAGAAACAATATTTTGTTGCATTTGGAAAAAAGTTGGGTCATTCCATTTAAAAAAAAATAAGTGATTTGCCTAATTTACTATTGGGCCACCCTGTACACATTAAAATAATTTTGGGATATTTGGTTTTGACCACCATTGACAGGTATACTTCGAATAAATCGTTAAGATTTGCATAATAGGAGTTATATAACTACGACAGAGGTTTGGCCAACCCTGTATAGTGTTTTAAGAAGAGGTAAGTCTAAAATTTTTGTTAAAAATTTGAATTTAGCTAGTAATGACCTAACAGTTTTTGTAACACTAGTAATATAATAGTCCCAACGGAGATGATTGTCAATAGTTATTCCTAAATACTTTATCTCTTTGTTTAATATTTATTAAGTTACCATGATTGTTGATTTCTAGCTTGTTGTAATTAGAAAGATTATTTTTATACCTTGTTATAGGTAGAAATATAGTTTTATCAAAGTTTATTGTAAGCAATTTGTAATTAAACCAATCTATAATATTACTTATATCTTTTTCAATTTTTTATTTCAGACCATTCCAGGTGTTTGCAGTATAAAAGATGACAGTATAATCAGCAAAGCTTGTTATCTCTCCAGAAGTTGTAAGTGTAAGTAGATTATTAAAGTATATTGTAAAGAGAATGGGACCAAGAACTGTCCCTTCAGAAACGCCACATTGAACAATCCTTTCCGAGCTTATACTATTATCTATTTTAACACATTGTTTTCTTCCTATTAGATAAGATTCACAGTTTTTGTGCAATTCCTGCAAAGAATCCAACAGCTGTGAGTGGTCCACAGTATCGAACGCCTTTGAAAGATCAAGGAATACCCCTATGGTGGGACAGCTGCAGTCGACAGCCTTATATAATTTTGTTGTTAAGTCTAATATTGCATGTTCTGTAGAAATACCTGTGCGAAACCCAAATTTTTGTTTAGAAATAATATTATTATTATTATTATTGTTTAAAAATGATTCTAATCTTATCTTTATTACTTTTTTAAAAATTTTTGAGAAATTGTTTATTATAGAAACAGGTCTGTATTTAGTAAGAGTTTGTTTATTTCCCTTTTTATGAAGAGGTTTTATAACTGCAGACTTGAATTATATGGGACAAATTCCATTTTCTATAATTATATTAATAATAAAGCAGAGTGGCGAAGAAAGTTCTGTACGAATTTCTTTTAATGTTTCGGCAGTTATATTGTCTATACCAGGACTTTTATTATTTTTTAAATTTTGTATAATTTCAATAATTTCTTCTTTATTTGTGGGTTTTTAGGAATATGGTGTTATTATTTACTTTCCGAGGTGGAAGATGTGTTGGAGATTTTGTAATAAGTCTAGCAAGGTCAGGTCCTACTTCCAAAAAAATTCATTGAATGCTTCTGCTATTTGTAATTTATTCTCAACAACATTACCGTTTTTTGTTATTACTTCTTTTATTTCAGTTATATTATTATTAGAGTTTGTTAAATTTTTTATTGTTTTCCATAATTTTTAAGAGTTATTTTTATTTGATTCTATCTGTGCTTTCTGATAATTAGGTTTAGTAACTTGAATACGGCGATTTAGAGAATTTCTGTAATTAATAAATTGGTCTTTCAACACTTTGTTTTCTATGTCTTTTTAATATGCTTTATATAATTTATCCCTTGTGATTATTGATTTCATGAGACCTACCGTAATCCACGCTTTCTTTTTAATTAATGACCTTTTTTGTTTAAGTATAGTTGTATTTTTAGAAATAAGGGTGTTAAGAGTATTAAGAAAGTAAATTGTTGCTTCTTGTACATCTGTTATACCGTATAAAGCATTCCAATTATAAGAAGTTAAATCAGCTTTGAGATTATTCTTATTTAATTTATTAATAAATTTAATTTTATTCACAGGTTCCTTATTAATAAATATATTTATGTTTAAAATTGTAGCTCTATGATCAGTAACAAGGGTATCTAGAACATAGCTAGAACAACAATCTTCGACTTGTCCATTTTTTACATTTACAAACATGTGATCTATGCAAGTTTTCGATAAACCTTGGATCCTAATAGGAACATTTATGGTTGAAGTAAAGCTAAACTCACTTAAAACATCTTAATACTCATTTGAATAAACTTCATCGTCTCGAAGTATATCAATATTTATATCACCCGCAATAACATGCATATCACAATTCTTTTTAGATTCACTTAAGTAGTGGTGCAGTTCAGTTGTGAATTCACTTTCATTCATTGAGGGAGGCCTGTAAAGTGGTGTTATTTTAATAAGTTCATTTTCTTTAGTTACTATTATAATTATAATTAAATGACTTTTTTAAATACGCAACCGTACCATCACATTTATTTATATCAGCAAAATTAAATAGCATATTATACCCTGTTCTTTGAAACAAGTTTATATCAAAATCATTCCTTGTTTCAGTTAATATTAGACATTCAAAATCTTCGTTGAATTGATTTAGAACAACTTCCAAGTTATCTATGTTTTTGCTAATACTCCTAATGTTATTGTGAAAAATTTTAAAAATGGTCCGGTTTTGTGTTACTTGATTGTAGTCATTGATATTCTCTAATACTTTAGTGGGAAATGAAGTGTAGTTATAGTCTTTGATAAAAGGATCCATACTAAATAAATCGCCTACTATTAGTGAAAATTAGAACTTTTTTTATAATCTAAGATAATTTACTTATTATTGAGATGGTAGGTACAATTCAGAACTGAAGAAAAGTTTACTAGGATCAAAAAGAACTATACAGAATGACAAATTTTATACACTATGAAATTAAATAGATTTTTTTTTCAATTCTGATAGCAATTTTTACAAATTTTAATTACCAGTTTTCTGACTGGTACTTCTAGTAGTAACAGACGTTTTTCTTTCCTTTTCTTTTCTTTATTTTGTTGCGGTATTTGTTGACTTCTCTGTTTATCCTCTTTTCGTTCTTCCTTGTGTTCCGCTACTTTTTCTTCTTTTTTCTCTGTTTTTGCTCCTTTGTCCTCAATATCGTTCAATTTTCTTATTTCTTTATTATTATCTTGATTAAATGTAGATAAATGATTTTCTCTTGCTGGTGTTTGTGGTGCGCTATTTGATTGTTGTATTACAATAGAATTGTAGCTGTCTTCGATTTGTATATCTTCTACACTATAAGCTGTATTATTTCTGTAGAGTTTTTCTCCTTTTATATAGCAATGATCCTGTGTTGTCTGTCTTATTTCTAGTAGGTGGTTTCTAAGAATTTTGTTTCTTTTCTGTTGACTTTTTGTAAGATCTGGAGAAATAGTAATATTGATCCCCTTTAGTTTCTTGGTATTTCTTAGTACGTCTATTTTTGTAAAAGTTGATACAAATTCAACTTTGATGGGACTTCTTTCTAATTTTTCAAGTTGATAGAAGTGAATAATATCTGATCGTTTTCTTTGAAGGCCAAGTACACTATTTAGATAGTTGCAGATATTTTCCACAGACAATTCTTTTAAAGTTGGTTTAATTCCAAAAATCACGACGTTGTTTTTTTGCTGTTTCTCTCTAAAAGTTCTACTCTTTGTTGAAGTTCTAAATTTTCTTTCTCTAATTTTTTCACTTTTTCATGCACTGACTCTAGTTTCATCAAAATTTTACCTTCACTTGCTTCAATGGCATTTCTAATTCTGTTTTCTATTTGGATCAAGTCATCTCGTAGTTGCTCCATAATATTTGAAAGTCTGGCAGCCGTGTAAATTTCTTAGTAGGTACACAGAAGGTTTATTATGATCCAAATGTCAATTTTAAGGACACGAATACAGTACTGAGTACAATTTAACTTTATTACATCGACTTTTCCAGTAATTTTCACTTACTCTGATAGCTCATGATACAGGAAACACTTGCGTATATAACTTTTATTTAATTTTTTGAATTTTGTATATGAAATTTTCGATTTAATGCACAAACTTTATAAGATACACTCAACAACGTTGCTAAGATATAAAAAAAATTAAAAATATTCAATGGTTGTTTAGTTCTATATTTTAGTTTTGGATTAGCAGAAATAATGTTAAAGCCACGACCTTTCAAATCACTAATTATATTTTCTGGTTCGAAAGAATGATGCAGTTTATATGCCATTACTTTAATTGGTCTATCTTGTTTGTCCTCATACGAGTACCAAGTGTACTCTTGTTCTGTAAATGCTCCAGAAAGCATTCTATATTCTGGTCCTTCCGGAACGTTAATTTTAACATTATTATCGTTGATGACTTTAATTTGGGAGTTTGGGATTTGTTTCACCATACTATGGAGTTTATTCAAGTTCTGAACATTTTCCACTATGATAGGTGATGGTGCCTTAATTTTAACAGGTTTTTCTATTGTAGTGCTGTTATTTTGTTGTTGTGGCTGTGGTTGCAGAGGTGTCAATGAAGTATCCATTTTTCTTTTTGTTTTCTGTTTTTCACACGGATTCACTCATTCTCTTTTGCCAGATCTTCTTCATCAGTAAAGTATTCAGTGGGCTTAGTTGCAATATTTATATTGGTAGCCATACTTTCTTCTATTCCTGTATATTTTTTGATTAATTTATTATTTGTTTTTATGATTTTATCTATCTGAATTTGGAGCGACTGCAACTTATCTTTTTAAATTGAGTAAATGTAAAAACGTGAATTCAAATTCAAATTCAAATTCAAATGAGGGTTATGTCTTGTTAGAATTAAGCCATCGATTTCCTAATTTCAGTAGAGTAGAAATACCTTCACAAAAAAAAATAAGTAAACCCTGTCGTGAGTCAACAAAGCGATATTATCAACCCTACAGTGTATAGCAATGTTTTGCCCTAAAAAAAATAGATTTTCGACCACCTGTTAGCTAAATTTCCGAGTCCTCATCTTAAACAATTTGATACGCAATCAAATGAAATGAGAAAAGAAGGCGTGATAAAATTTATTGCTGCATTTAGTCGCGATAAACGTACAGTGAAAGTCGATAAAATTAGCTAATAAAGAACGTTAAAGACACTTTTTGTTATTGTTAACTTTCACCTATGAATCAATTATAGGATATATGAAGGAAATAAACTTTTATTGTTATGGTACGGTTTGTAAGTGCTTAGATCAGATAGGTAGATCGCAATAATTCTGTCTCAAGTATGCCACACAAGTTGAAAATATTGTATAGATTAAAGCAATAGGAAAATTTTAACTTGGAAGTTTATGTTTTTTTTTCTAATCATTAATCATCATTACTAAGAAGCTAACAGATAATTACATAAAAATGGAGGAATTATTTGATGTAACATCTAATCACTCTCCACTAATAATGACTTTTTTTTTAAATTGACATCTAAACGTAGTTTTTTTGCCACAGACTTTTGTAAATTGAATACTTATTTATTTATATTTTATTATTTTCTTTAATTTAAAATTCAATAATTAAATCATATTTTTTCTCACCAAATGAATTTATTAAAATAAAAATACTTGATGGAAAAAGGATATTTAGGGAAGAAAGTTTTTTAAGGAAATCTAAACGATGAGAATTATGGCGGCTACAAGAAAAAATGAAGTAGTTGATATCAGCAAAAGAAGATTTATCGCATTGACAGAAAGGTGATATATTAATACCAATTCTGGAAAGGTGTGACGGAAAACCCCCATGATTTAGTTTCATCCTTGTTAAAGTCGAACAATAATACCTAGATTAGATTAGATTTGATTAGGAGCTTGTCCACCGCGACGTTTTCAGATCTATTGTGTGACTTCGCTTGTTCAAGAGTATGTCGTCTAGCCTGGTCTTTTTTATTAGACTTAGTAGCTTTGACAGTGGCTCCCGCATGTAGTTGCATGCATTTGGCTTTTCTTCGCCCAATGTTAGATACCTCATTCTAGCTTTACATTAACACAGAACCTGCACAAAGTTGCTTCTTCTGCTGGGTTTATGACACTCATGTGCCTTTTGAGGCGACAGTGTCCAGTAAGAAGGCCTACTGTTATCCAAACGATTTGACGCTTTTGAACCAGTAGGTCTTTCGTGAACTTGGCCGATGGTTCCTTAATGAACTGTTTGGCCTGTCTCAGTTTTGGATGGTTGTTCCACCATTCCTGAGACTTTTTTTTGCATCCACTGTGTAACGGATGCCTTGCAAAATGCCTTAGCAACTCCACAGAAGGGTTCGGGGCCTGTCATGGCCTTATCTAAGCCTTCTCGGGCTAATTCGTCGGCCTTTTCGTTGCCCTGATATCCTTTATGACCTGGAACCCAGGCTAGGGTCACCATATTTTGACTACTTAGCTCTACCAGGTCTTCTTGACAGTCTTTCACCAGTCGTGAATTCATTTCTGATGAGAGAAGTGTCTTTAGAGCTATTTGGCTATCAGAGTATATGGCAATAGTTTTTCCTGATACTTGCTGATTTAATATTTCTCTTGCACAGTGTTGTATGGCTATTAGTTCAGCCTGGAACACTGTTACATATTTTCCTAAACTCAGCGAAATCGTTGTTTTTGACTTGGGTCCATAGATTCCAGCACCGGCTCCTTCCATTATTTTTGAACCGTCTGTGTACCAGACGAGTTTAGCCTGTACGGGAGATCCCTGTTTTCAGGATTCTCGGGCTAGTATTTGAATTTGAAAATTTCTTTCAAATTTGTATGTGGTTATGGCTCTATCAGTAGGCATTACTAATTAATCCCTTTTTACTTGCTGATATAGCCTTATGTGGTCGGCGATATGTAGTTGGCTTATTGGGTTTTGTCCCTGCATTAGCCTGTGAATAACTGACCTAATTTTTCCTTGTATGAAGATGTGCAGTGGCGTGAGATTTAATAACACCTCCATTGCTGCAGTCGGCGTAGTGTGCATAGCCCCAGTAGCACTTAGACAGACAAGCCGCTGAATGCTAGTGAGTTGGCCTATTGCACTTGTCTGCGCAGTTTTGGTTACCCATGCCACTGCACCATAGGTTATCATGGGTCTAAGGTTAGGTTTAAAATGAGTGGGATGATCTCATCGCCTTCCAATGCGACCCAGATGGGTCTATTGAGGCCCATGACTAACTTATAGTTCACCGTACAAGCCACACCTTTTGATAAAGGTCATGGTTGAATTGGGTGAGACTTCTTTAAAGTCGGTAGGCTCCAGTCGGGTATATCCGAAAATCTGGAACCTGGTTCTTTCCAGAGCAGAGCAGGTACATAAAATGTGCTCTGCAGACTCGTCCTCCACGCTGCAAAATCGACAGTCCGATGTTTGTTGCAGACCTATGCTTCTCATGTGATTTCCCAGACAGCAGTGTCCTGTCATCAGTCCAGTGAAAATGCGTAGATCTCTCCTACTTCATTCTTGGATCTGAGCAGAGGCGTTCATGTAAGGGTTGGTTATAAACGCCTTCGAATGGGTTAGCCCTGGGGTATCTCTCCAGTTCGTGAGTGTTGCACCCTCAATCCATTTTGAGATAATTCCTTTGGCAGTGCTTTTTGCAATGCCAAGGAATGGTTCTGGTCCTATAAACACAAATTCGGTTCCTCTTTTAGCAAGTGAGTCGGCTTTTTCGTTGCCCTCCACACCACTGTGTTCCGAAACCCAGATCAGAGTAACTCTGTTTCGGGCACCGAGACACTCTAGGGTATCAGTTCCAAACCAGCTTTGAGTCAACTCGATTGGAGCTCAGGGCCTTAAGGGCTGCCTGGCTATCTGAAAGGATCTGTATAGTCTTGTTTGCGGGGAGAAAATTGATCAACTCTCTCGCTCCCAATTCTATAGCAATCATTTCTGCTTGGAAGAACGTGGCCAGAGAGTCTAGGTTTATTGATATGTCAATTCTAGGCCTCTGGTCAAAAACTCCCGCTTCCACTCCTTTTTCAGTTTTGGAGCCGTCCGTGTACAACGTATATTCTGCCTGGAAGAGGGTTTTCCCCTTTGCTCCATGCATCTTTCTCTGGAATGAGGACGCTGTATGGCTTTTCTATGTGCTGTCGGGGAACTAGCGAGTCCGAAACCATGCCGAGGATGGGGTGATTATTAATTTCACTCATCATCCCCGTCTTGTCCCAACGCAGTTCTTCGTAACATTGACTACTAACTTTCAGGAGCCTGTAGGAGACCATTTTGGCCTCCCTTTCCAGCAGAATGTGGAGAAGGGTTAGGTCCAGCATGGTCTTCATGGCTCCCGTAGGTGTAGTTAACATTGCTCCAGTTATGGCGAGGCACGCAAGCCGCTGTATTTTAGCCAGCTTTGCTCTGGCCGTCCGTTGGAGTTCCTTGTCACACCAGATGACAGAGCCGTACGTAACCATGAGTTTTACCACTGTTTGGTAGATCCAATAGATCAGTTAAAAACTGATCCCCCATGCTTTGCCGCATATATATATATCTGAGTGTCCAGAGGGATAATCTGGCTTTGTTAATGGTTTTATCAACTGGGTTCCAGGTGAGTTTCTTATCTAGGGTGATACCCAGATATTTCACCTCCTCCGCAAAAGGAATGGTTTCCCCAGCCAAGGTAGGTTGTCGAAGCTTGTTGAGCTTCCTTCTCTTGGTGAAGGGGACAATAACAGTTTTGCGGGGGTTAACAGACATCTGCTTTCTCTCGCACCATCTGTTGGTCGTATTAAGGGCTTGTTGAAGGATGTTGGAAATCACCTCTTCGAACTTTCTCCTAATTATGATAACCAGATCGTCCGCATAGCATTGGAAATTTACCCCCTGTTGGGATCATGGGTCTTATTACCCATGTGTATAACCATATGGTCATTTTCGGGTTTAGACTCCAGTTTTTCCCACATATTCTTCTACAGCTTACGAGAGCTATTGTAGCTTTGTATGTGAGTTTTTTGAGAATATAATTCCACGTCAGCCTTTGGTCAAATATGACTTCGAGGTCTTTGGCTTCTGTGACGAATGGAATAACTATGTTGTTCAGTACGATGAGAATTATGGCGGCTACAAGATAAAATGGAGTAGTTCACATCAGCAAAAGAAGATTTATCGCATTGACAGAAAGGTAATTTATTAATACCACTTCTGGAAAGGTGTGATGGAAAACCCCCATGATTTAGTTTCATCCTTGTTAATGTCGTACAATAATAATTAGATACTTAGACATTTTAAAATTCGTAATGTAAGGAATAGATTTTGGAAGAATAAGGTGAATAAATGTATATGGGTTATTTAAATGAGAAACAAAGTGTTCCCAAAGTTTCTCCTAGCTTGAGAATGAATATTATTAATAGTTTGAAGAAGAATGGATTCTTTAGCAGCTAAATCGACTTTCTTATTTTCAACTATCCCTTTATGAATTTTAATAATAATAATAATTATAATAATTCTTATAAGACAATAATTACAATTGTATAATATTTCCAAATATATATAATAAAAAAAAAAATATTAAATGAAAAAATGAAGGATAGCAGTAAATAAAACATAAGGTTTAA